CTGTAGAGACACACAGCTCCCGAATTGCTAGTTCACGGCTGCGGCACACTGCGCCCGTGGCTGCAAGGCCGGAGCGGCCTACACCCCCACGCCTGTGATTAAAAAATATTTATTGGCTGACCTAATCATCACCCTCGCTGCTCGCTTTCACGTGCACAAGATATGACCTTGTTAAGTCATGTTGATGAGTATTGTATGCTCCTCCTATGCGCAGAAATTCAACCACTTATAAGTGTTGTAAATAGAAAAGTAAGATAATAAAAACCCCAGAGAAAAGTCCCTGGGAGGCTTTTTCGGCTACCACGACCTGGCGCTCTGTCTCCTTCCTTTTTCGTCGCCACATCTGGTGACCCCGACGTGATTCCCCCTGCTCACCGGCTGGATATGCCGAGTGCACCTCTGCGGCCGTTTGCCGCCCCTGATTCGTGAGTATGGGGGGGGGACTTTCCAGTGCCCAGAAGGAGCACGCAAGGGAGTTACAAAAGATTATACGGCAACGATCATGTGTCGTTGTCTCGGTCGCTCATATCGAGGACCTTCTAAGGGAAATAGATCGCCAGTGCCCCTGGTATCCGGACTGTGGGTCGTTGCAGCTTCTTGATTGGATACGGATTGGGACCACTCTCTATAGTGAACCCCGTGCCCCGGTTCAGCACCTGCTGCTCCGGCAGCGTTGTAAGGAGGCGCTGGAGGGGGTCGGCCCCGATGATCCCAAGCCGGTCTCCCTTTTGCCCCCAGGTGATGGACCGCCCCCATCTTACCCGCAGCTGACCCTCCCTGCGCTGCCGCCCGCGGCGGCGCCCCCCGCCCACCTGTCGGTCGGGGGGGCGTTGTCGCTGCGGCGGTGCGGCGAGCGCGTGAGGCCGGTCTCTTGACCGACGAGGAATCCAGCTGTGGGTTTGAGGCGTTTCCCGTCTCTTGGCGGGATGACGGTAACGGAAGGCAGATCGTGGACTGGCAGGCACTCCCCTATTCAGTTCTGTGCGAGCTCCGCAAGGCGGTTCGCGAGACCGGGGTGCGGTCTACTTTCACCCTGGGGATCTTGGAAGGTGTGTCGAATGGCTATTGGTTAACCCCCCAAGACTGGAAAGATGTGTGCCGCATGGTGCTGTCTCCCGCGCAATACGTTGTGTGGGATAGCGAGTACCAGCGAGAGGCGCTTGCGGCGGCCGCACAGGGTGGGGGGGCCTATCTCGCTGAGCAGTTATATGGCACGGGACAGTTTTCGACCATCCCCCAGCAGGCGGTGGGAACGCCACAGGCCGCTTATTCCATTATCGGTCAGTGCGTCCGTCGGGCGTTTCGTAGGGTCCCCGCTACGGGCGAGTCCTCTAAGTCTTTCGCGGTTACTCGGCAGGGTGCCGCCGAACCGTTCCATCAGTTTATTGACCGCCTCCAAGAGGCAGTCCAAAGGCAGATCGACAACCCAGAGGCCCAAACTGAGCTTATGAGAAAGCTGGCTTATGAAAACGCCAATGCAGATTGCCGCCGTGCAATGCAGGCAGTGGTCGGGCGCCCGGAGTACACCCTGGCACAGTTGCTACAGGTGTGTGCTGACGTAGGCACTCAGACCCATCAGATGGCCTTATTGGCTGCTGCCCTGCACAAGGGGCAGAAGCCTCAGGGGAACTGCTTTAATTGCCAAAAGCCCGGGCATTTTCGGCAGGAGTGCCGGGCCCCCGGGGGGGGGGGCATACCGAAACAAACCCCAAGCAGGCCAGAGGCCCCGCACGTTGTGTCCCAAATGCAAAAAGGGCTACCATTGGGCGGCGCAGTGTCGCTCAGCCGGGGGTGACAACCGGGCCCTAACAACCAGCCAGGACAACCCCTCGGGAAACTCGTAGTCGGGCCTGCGACCAGCCCGAGGCCAAAGGCCGCGCCCCTCTCCGTGCACGATGTTCCTGCCGCCACAAGGGGCAGTGCGGGGATTGACCTTGTCAATCAGAAAAATATGGATATAACTCTCCCTGGGGAGGTCCTCCTTATGCCGTCTCAAATTCAGGGCCCGTTGCCGGTGGGCACGGTGGGCCTTGTTCTGCCCCGCTCGTCCACCAGTAAGCAGGGCTTGTTTGCGGTGCCTGGGGTGGTGGACTCGGACTATGGTGGAATTATCCACGTTCAGCTGTGGAGTCATCTGCCAAAACAACTGTTTCAGGGAGATGCT